GGAATGTCGACAGTTATAAGTTGTCCAGTGGTTGCTCATTGATTTCCATGCTTTCGAGATTCCCAAAGCAACAGTCCGAGCTTTCTTTTAATAATTTGAATTTTAGACTTTTTTTTTAATCGTTAACCCGTAACATACTGGAGGTGATTTTGTTTGAATGGCAAAAATTTTATCCTGCCATTGCAAGTGAATCAGATGAATAATAGATTGTTTGTGTTTGAGTTTTGCAGTTTCCAGAATTTGGGTAAAACGATAAACCATCCAACAAAAAAAGAAATCTGATCAAAGGTTTTGAGGATCGTGGAACCACCTTTTGCTGGTGTTCACAAAGAATCCATTTTTGGGGTTTGTAAATCTTAAAAAGGGTCCCAGCTATAGGTAAATAGTTAACCCCAAACTGGAATCAAAACACTATGAAAATTTAAAATAGGTTTTTATACCAGCAATATATTTTTTTTAAAAAAATCATTAACAAAATAAAGTTTTTGAAATTTAATTTTTTCTTTTACGTATTTGAAAAAAAAAAATTACCAGCAATAAAAATCTTGTTTCATTAAAAAACCCATTGAGGTTGTTTGTAAATAAAAAAAAAAAACCAAAATGAACCCGAATGAAGGTCCTGCGTTGTAAAAAAATGTTCAACTAATTCAGCACTGATTAGGGGCTTTAGTAGTTTGCGTAAAAGAGGTAAAGACTGATTAAAAATAAAAGGAGCAGACTGTTCACCCGAACTCTTAAACTGAAACAACAGATGAGGACTTCCATTTCAAGCAGGAAAAAAAAATTTACGAATTAAATTTATTATATCAGTTTAGAAAAAACAGGAGTCAGTTCTGGATTTTTATTTCTTATTTTCTATTACAGGGATATTTAAGGCCCACATGTTTTGTGGGGATCCATGTTAGAGATGATAGCAGAATCCATGGAAGGGGTTATATTCATATCACTCAACAGTGACCAAGTTCTAAGTTTTTAAGTTTTGTAAAATTTCTCCAGATGAGTTCAAAATAGATTTTAAAAAGAATAAAAAAACATTCTGCTTTGTCAGCAGAAGATGTTAACACCTCAAACTGAGTGAAGAGAGGAGGAAGAGAGAACTTACTCTTATTTAACACACTATTACACAGCCGCTAGTGATTATGAGAGACAAACTTGTTAGATGCAATGCTTCATTCTCTCAGCAAACCTAGCACCTTCGAGGACACGTTTACATTTATTATGTACAGCTACGATCAGGTGTCTGTTGTGAAAAGAACTGCCACGCTAATATAGCCAGAAATAGTGATTCCTGTGGGCTATAGTGGCTGAACATACCGGTGGCTGTATGAGATAAGGAAAGGAAGCAGTTGACAGTCAAATAAATATCTATTAATAAGCTTATAGAAGGGACAACAAAACTTAACCTATCCTGAAATTAAAGACACAAATTACAAAGCATATACATGCATAATTATGTGGTAATAAAATTAAAATCTCCCAAAGCGAAGATTTGTGAACGGATATCAAAATTATTCAATTTCACATACCTTTGTATAACGGATCCTTCTAAACCGGGCGCACAGTAAAAATTCCATTGAAAATTCAATATTTTCAAATTGTCCATATTTGCTGTTTAAGTATGACTTGGGGTTCACCGAGTGATTATCTCGCAATCTATTTATAGTTTTCTTATTCCTCGTTTGTTAAATAGTTCTGAGGTTAACAATATTACTAACAACTTATTCCTCTGTAAAAAAAAAAAAAAAAGTTTAAAGAAATTTCACTATTTTTGTTCTTTCCTGTACCTCGGTTTGGTTTGGTTTGTTTTACGGTATATCAACCTCAATAGGTTATTTAATGCAAACAAGATTTTTATTGCTGGTAATATTTTTTCTTCAAAAATTTATTGCTGGTAATAATTTGTTACAGAGTACTTCTGGAACTAAAACCTATTTTTACACTTTCATAGTGTTTTGACCCCATTTTGGGAGTTAACTCTGTACCCATAGCTGGGACCCTAACAGGTGGTACCACCCCGAGTCAAAGTGGACCTGGGAACACCAGCAATTAAGAGGTGGTTCCACGCTCCTTAAAACCTCCTGATAAGAGACCTTGCTGTTGGACGTAGTTTATCGTCTTACCCAGGATATGTCAAAATACTGAAGAGTCCTTTGCTGTTGGACGTAGATTATCGTCTTATCCAAGACGCGGATGTAGTCTATAGTCATACCAGGATGGCCGTACTTCGGTTCTAGACTTAAGAATACAGAATACTGAACTGGTGGTGTTCATCTGTTTTTAATTTAACGTTTCCACCGACCCATTCTACAGTTTTCTTCAGGTGTTCAACTGTTAAGCACGTTGACACACAAAACGAAAACTAAACAGTTCAACAGAAGGGCCGTTGGAATTTCGTACGCATGAAATCTTTTTGCCGCCAAATACTCAGGTTATTTACTAAACTTACTACAGCGATTTGGAAGGATCACCATCGCGCTCCAGTATGCACCTTACACCGATTATGTGGCTTGCATCAAAGTGATAAAGACATTAATGTTGTTTATTATTCAGAAAATCGTTAGGAATGAGCAGTCATCAGGTGTTTCGTTTTCTGAAATAGATGAGTGATGAATCATTTAAAACATACGCGGGTAGGAAAGTTTTTTTAGGGTTTTATTATTATTACAAAAGGAAGCGTTAATTATTGAAAAGTGGTCATACATCCGGAGTAACAAAAATGGTCTGAAGAATGTGTATCGAAAAGAAAAAAAAATCTGTTATTCACCTCCAAGAATACGCCGAATGTTCGTTTTGGATAAGAAAGGAAAACATTCAAGATTTTGATCTCCCTATTTATATTAAGTGCAGATCGAAGTATAAACAAAACAGCTCATGGTGAAATACACAGGTAACACGTCTTTAGTATTATTCCATCAGTAAAGTTGAGAGAAATCAATTGAGATTTACACCGTTTCGCGTGGGACGCCGTTGGTTACTAGATATGACTATTGTCTCCTGAAGACGGCAGGACTAGTTAACTGAAACGTAGCTGAAAGTAAATATGTAATAGTTATCGAGATATGTTATTTTTAGTATTATTTATAATCTAGAGGAGAACGACGAGAGAATTGATTTTTTTTTTTTTTGGTTTGGTTTATTTTATCTTACGGCATATCAACACCTCAATGGTTTGTTTAAAAACCAACAATATTTTTAGGAGAGGCTCGTATGACTAAAAAAAAAATACGTCAATGAAACCTGAGCTAGAAACTGATTTCTTACAAAGAATCCATATTCTAAAGAAGGTTTTTTTTTTTTTTTTTATATTGCTGGTAATAGAAATATTTTGTTAAAAAAAAAACAACAAAAAACTGGTATTAAATCCTATTTTTACACTTTCATAGTGTTTTGACCCCAGTTTGGAGAGTTTTACCCATATCTGGGACCCATAACAGGCGCTACCACCCCGTGTCAGGTTGGACCTGGGAACACCAGCACTTAAGAGGTGGTTCCACGCTCCTCAAGACCTCCTGATCAGAGGACGTAGTTTATCGTCTTACCCAGGACGCAGGAAATACTGGTTTCGTTTGGTTTACAGTCATTTAATGCCGAAATTGAATATTTTTCCTAAATAAAGCCTTGCACTTAAAAGGCCCCCCAAATTAATTTTAAATAGCATGAAGTTGTAAACTATGATCTCTTCCTCTTAAATCATATTTTTTTAAATCATTCCAACCTCATAGAAACTGGAACATGCAAAGTGAATCAACCCAAATCACTGCAACTTGTCAGTATGTATTCTATAGTAAACAGCTCCCAGTATGCCACATATCCCGGAGGATCTTCCTTTTTAGGATATACAAATAGTATCATTGGGGGGGACGCATGTATATCCACTTTCTCTACGCTGCTTGGTTTGGTTTCTTTTACGGCATATCAACCTCAACGGGTTATTAAATGCCGACAAGATTTTTATTGATGGTAATATTTTGTCTAAATTTCTGAGATGAGGTGTTATGTACACTATTTACATTATTCGGACTATTGCCCTCATTTTGTTGCCATATTTATCACAACGTTTTGGCCGTTGTACGCTCCAGCCTTCTTCAGGTGGTTGGAATGTCGAACTGAACCCTTTATTTTGCTCGGTGGGGTAGACTGTTCTAGTTCCACGTGTCATGTCTAATGGATGTCAGTTATCAGTTATCTCCTGTTAATTCTCCTCTGAAATTCTCCACTGCCTTAACCAGGTATTGAAACTCACTCTTTGGGTCCTGTCACTGGATCTAACTAACGCCTTTATTCACTGTGCCATGTGTCCTCAAGGACATATGGCACAGCGGATAAATATTACCAGCAATATATTTTTGAAGGAAAAATATTACCAGAAATAGATTTTTGACAAAACAAAATATTACCAGCAATAAAATTGTCGGCATTATATAACCCATTGAGGTTGATATGCCGTAAAACAAACCAAACGTTTTGTGCATCATGTGATGCACGGATTTTTATGTGAAACACTATATATCAGCTCATTCTATTTGCCAAATTAGCTGAGTTGCCTTGTAATATTTATAAATCTGAAAACAATCATGAACTTTTGGATAGTACACATGAAAATAATTGGTTAAAAAATAATTTGGTTAAAAAAATAATGAATATGAAACCAGATTAGAGTTTTTAACCTTTGTATAATCGTAAACATTTCTTTTAATGATCCTGTTTTTTCTTAAATCATTCTTTGTCGCACTCTTCCTTCAGGACAAGAGACAAATTCCTTAATAATGTCTTGCAAGGTTTTAAATCGAGAAGCAAAGCAAAGATGCCCAAGAAGGTCACGGGAACAAATTCTACCGTCGACAGCAGAAGACAGTAGTCAGAAGGAGAACAAGCGGACGAAATGGGAAGATCCGAAAAAAGACGATTCCCCGATAACAGAAATCCGAAATGAAAACCACGTCAACAACGACAACAACAAAAACAGCAACAACGGGCCGATAGATGGCGTTGGTATCAAAATGCTCAGGGAATCGAGTTGTTTATTGCCGCCAAGTCAACCAGTCATTCTTCGATCGGGAAAAAAGGAAGATATTTCCAGAGAGACTATGGTCACACCGAACCGAACAAGTACTCGGCAGGATGGAGGACGCAGAAAGGTAAGTTTTAAATTTTCATTCAATTTATTATTATTATTATTTTTAAACCTATATGACAAAAAATAAATATTCTTTGTACCACTGCACCCCAGAAATTAAGCTTCAAGAAATTTTAAATTAATTATTGTCGCCACCCACAAAATCAAAAACGAAATTCACTTGCACATGTAAGTGATTTTGTCTTCAACCATCTTCGAATTTGTGGGTTAATTTTACATGTTAACTCTTATTGGACACTTAACTGTTGAAGTCAATCTTTTTTCATTTATTTTTTTATCCAGAAGTAAATATGTTGGTTTTATAGGATTATATACGAATTTGAATCAAATATGGATTAAATCCGACAGAATGATTAAATAAGAAAAAATAGGAAAACGTTTATAAATGTTTCACTTTTATTTTAGCTTCATTAGAATTTTAAAACTTTCCCAAAAGATTCTGATGAAGCTAACACAAAAAAAAAGTTAAATTTATAAAAGTTTTCCTATTTATTCCTTATTTACTCATGATTATATATAAAGAAACGGTATGGATTTTTGTCATTTATTTAATCCGACAGATTTTTATTACCTAAAAGTTATTTTTAGTAGTTACTCGTATTTGAGTAGAGGCTGCATTTTTTTTTTTTTTTTTTATTAAACAGTGTATTTATTTAATTTCTTCTCGTGGCCTGAATATTCGAGAAATCTTATTAGAGAAAAATATATGCGCTCTCCGGCAGGATTCGAACCTGTGTTCCCTTACGGGAAACTGTCATTAAATAAAGCTGAATAGAAAATTTAAACATACATTGTTCTCTGACTCTTGAAATAGACATATCTACTCAGTTTCGTATCCTAACGTGAGAAAAGGATTTTCTAAAGAAATAGAGTGGATTTTTTTATTTATTAATCCGTCAGATTTTTATTACCTAAACGTTATTTTTAGTGGGTACGCGTATTTGAGTAAACGATCCGTTTATTTATTAAACATTACATTTATTAACTATCACGTTGATATAGCCGGAAAAAGTGATGCTTGTGGTCTATAGCGGTTGAATATGTAGGTGTGAACCAAGAAGAGCATGTTTTTATTTGGTACGTGGTATTTTATTTGGTTTTTATTTGGTATTTACGAGAAGACAAAAATCTCGATGTTGGCTTTCATGAATGGCAGTAATTAGGTTTAAAAGGTACGAGTTTGAATTCCAGTCGAATCCATTACATTCAGTTACGAACAAATACCCTTGGGAAAGGTATGAATCCTCTTCTTCTCCCCTCTTTATAAGTAAATAGCAGGACGGCAACTGGTCTACCGCAGATAGAAATGGCAACCTACTGCAGGAAAAAATCTGCCTCGTTAGTCATGTATTAATGTATGAGCACCTAAGCGTGTATCACGCATGGCACATAACTGACTGCAGTGCTAGTTAGCGCGCCTTAAATGTAGAGGTGTTTCATTAACTTTTGGGGACGTTCTAAAAGCCCCAAGTCTTGATGCGTTGAGTATTTTTAGGTATGATTTTCTGGCGTTATACAGTTTTGAGAGAAGTAGTGATCTGTATACTTAATGATTGTCAATCTGCTCCCCATTCAGTATGGACTACCACACGCAGAACTTAGAGGACTTTCATTCCTCATCTAAAATATTTAAAACTAAAATGTATTAATGTTCATTTTTTGTCAAAAATGAAGCCTAGGTTCCACAAAATGGATTTCTATTCGGTCTAATTTTAAACAGTGGTTGCTGTGAAATTTTCTCAATTTGTAAAAAAATGTAAGCATTTTTGGGGGGTGGGGAGTTAAAGCAATTTTCAGTGGCCCATTTGTGCATTTTACTGAAGCATTATTGATGTTGTATAGATTCCAACATATGCATACCATAGAAAGACAGAAAATCTTCGATATATAGGGAGCATCTCACACGTGAGCTTAGGAATTTAACTATAGAGTTATTTTGACGCAGAATAGGGTCACTGAAAGAATGCTTCCTTGTGAAACCCCTCCTTGATTTGTTAGTTCTGATAGTATAGTTCCTATACGAACTTGAAATCTTCGGTCTTCCAGGAAATTCTCTATGAATTGAGTCAGCCTTCTTTTAAACCCAGTTCACGCAGGTCTTTCAAGATACCAAATTTCCATGTTGTATCATACGCCTCTTGTACGTCAAAAAAGACCCGTTAGATGTTCCTTCTTAATCAAGGCTCCCCTTACAAAGGTTTGTAGACGTATTAAGTAGTCCATGGTGCTTCTTTTTTTTTCCTAAACGTACATTGGAAATCGCTGATTAAGCCTTTACTTTCCAGATACAAAGTAACCATGTTGTTAACCATTCTCTCCATAGTATTACATAGACCCTGAAAACAACAGACCGGTAGCATTGATCAGTTGTCTGTGTCATCCTTTCCATGTTTGGGAATAGGGATGATAAATGACGGTCTCCATATTTCTGGAAAGTTGCCATTTGTCCATATGTTATTATACATTTTTAATAACAGTTGTAACGTAACGATTTGTTGGGTAACTGTTTTATGAATTCGTAGTGGATATCATCTGGACTCACATCTGTATTGTAGTCTTTCTTTAAAGAATCATTTAGTTCCTCTAGAGTGAATGGTATCTCAGCATTAGTTTTTGTTTTTCCGCTTTTTTGTTTGAGCTTTAGAAATTAGAATTATTGGCTACCATTCTTGGCAGATTCATTTTTTTGAGATTGTTTTGGCTATTTGGTCAGCGATATCCTATTTGCTGGTTGTTTTAGAATTATTTGCCCAGAGATGTTTCACGGCATGTTTGGTATTTGCCTGCTATTTTCTTTTTCATATTCCAGACAGATTGTACTTTTTTTGTTTTGTTTTGTTTTTTGTAGCAGAATTTAGTCTGTTGACCTAGTTTTTCCAGGATTCTTTTTTGGTTTCTTGAATTATTTTCTGTGATTTTGCTCGGAGCTGCTTAAATTGCAACAAATTAGTGTAGCTGAGAACAACATTTAAGAGGTTCTTCCACGGTCCTCAAAACCTCCCGATCAGAGGCCTTGCTGCCGGATATAGTTTATCGTCATACCCTGGACGTTCTTCCTTTGTGACGTTACTAACAAGCAGTGTAATCATTCTATGATTCCACCATTATTTCTCATAGTTTTAATACTTTATTAAATACTTGAAAAACATTTTCCACTATTCTTATGAATCTTTGGAAAAGTGTGTCATATTCCGTCATCCGATACAATACCACCGTAAATGACAAACTCATTTTGGACGGTCTCTTTTGCTGAAAAGCATTCATTCCGTTTACTAACACGAATAAGATGTTCTCATTTGACAAAAAATACGAGATCTGCAGATTATATATATATACACACATACATACACACATACATACATACACACATACACACACACATACATAAAGATAGATTACAATCTCAGATTATAACGTTTTTGCCTACTCATTTTCTTTAACTAGAGAATTTACACAGTGAATGTCTTACAGACATGACACATCTCCCGGCAACTGTCAGCATTTCTACACACAAACAACTAACCGGTAAGTAGTAGCAACATAGTGTTTTAGTTTTCTTTATTGACCATACGTCAACTATGAAAAGTCATTCATTTGATTGATTAGTTATAAGTAATCTTGGTCTTGCATCGAAATTACGATGAATAGCAAAGTTGAACGATTAATGCAATTGAGCATTTTGATAATAGACAACGCCTTCGTGTCTAAGCTGTTAGCACGTGGGTCACTGCACAGCTATGTAAGAGTAATCAATATACTTACTTTGGCCTATGTCATGTGGTGGGTGTGGAGGAGAGGTGACATTATAAGCGGGTATGAAATCCTTGGAACGTACAAAGCGACTAAATAAATGTCCAAGATTAAACGCTATATCTTAACTGTATTTAGTTACAATTGATCTCAAATAAAAAAATCCAGCTTTTTTTTTTTATTATTTATTAACTTGCTTTTGATGTTACATGAGCAAATACTTACAGGACTCAGTGATGCGATTGCTTTTAAATTCATTTCCGAATTAATATTATATTAACAATTTCGGGAATAAATATACATAGTGATTTTTCCAGAGACAACTTGCATGAAAATAAACGGTAATGAACTTTTTGGTTTGGTTTGTTTTACGGCATATCAACCGCAATGACTTATTTAATGCCGATAAATTTTTTTATTGCTGGTAATATTTTTCCAAAAATGTATTGCTGGTAATAATATTTTCTTCAAAAATTCATTGCTGGTAATAATTATTTATAAAAATATATTGCTGCTACTAAAACCCATTCTTACGCTTTCATAATGTTTTGACCCCAGTTTGGGGGGGGGCAACTATTTGCCCACAGATGGGGCCACAACAGGTGCTACCACTGCAGTCTGGGAACACCAGTAATTAAGAAGTGGTTCCACACTTCTCAAAACCTCCCAATCAGCGGCCTTGTTGTTGGACGTAGTTTATTGTCCTACCCAGAACGCGGATGTAGTTTATCGTCCTACCCAGGACGTGAAGGCGATTTTGACATTCTCAAATGGTTTATAATCTTTGTTTTGTTTTACGGCATATCAACCTCGATGGGTAATTTAATGCTGACAATTTTTATTGATGCTAATACTTTTTTTTTCAAAAATATATTGCTGGTAATTTTTTTTTTAAATGCGATTCTGGTAATAATTTTTTTACAAAGTATTTCTGGTATTAAAACCTATTTTTACACTTATGGGGAAAGAAGGGAGATCACCTCCCTCTGTGGGATCAGGTTGATATCATAGACAAAGAACACCATTGGAAAATTCGTAAACTTAAGGAATCAGCACATATGCTAGGCCACAAAAATCTCCTGAGCCGACCAAGCATAGAAATGAATACAATATGTGAACCAGTGATAAGGAGTGTCAGAGAAAAGCAATGATAACAGCAGAAATTGAAATATGAGCACTGGTAAAAAATGGTTTGCTGAAGACATTAGGTTTATAATACCCAGACGTCCTCAAGGACACATGGCACAGTGG